ATTTCAGTATTTTTCAAAGTTGAAATCATGAGTCAATTGAAGCTAGACCACCATCGAAAACCTGGAAGCAGTGACTGACTTCAAGATACATGTGGGAAGCAGTGACCAGTGGAGTTCAACCAGGTCTGTTGTGAGATAACAACTCACTGAAGACAATTGGTGAATGGTTGCTCGAAATTCGTGGATTGGTTGAAATTAGACATTAACACCGTTGAATACCAGCCAACTCAGTGGTCTATCGGTTAAGTGCTCTGGCGCGAGACTGGTAGGTCCTGGTTTCGAATCTCGCGAGTGCAAGATCGTGGATGCGCACTGCTGAGGAGTCCCATAATAGGACTAAACGGCCGTCCAATGCTTCCGGGTTTTTGATGGTGGTCTATCTTCAACTGCTATTTTAAGCTTAATTCTTAGGGATTCACTCATTTACTTTCTCTTACGTATTGTTTTATAATATGTTAATATAAATCATTTATGCATAATACAGAATCAAACATTCTCACTGTAGTTAGCTATTAATTAAATGTGATCAATTTCGATATTGTAATAAGAAGACGAAGATCATCGGAACTATGTGATGAGATATTAGCGCAATACATTTCGAACAATCTGATCACACTTTATATACTTGTTAGGAACATTTATATATAAAAATAAAAGGTCAACTAGATTGGAAATGGGGGGTAGGTGAGAGTGTATGAACATGTACCAAAATGGTTGCAGAAACAAATAGAATCAAATGACCCGATAATCGTAGATGATAAACATTCATCATCCTCTATTGCCAAACACATAATCAATAATCGAAACAGGTCATAAGTTTGATCTTAACTCGGCTTTTATGGTGTTGTATAAAAGTGTAAAAGGGTGTATATTAAGGTTTATTGAAGCCTTAGCCATATGAAAATGCAAGCCCCCTTTGTGTATTCAAAAATAGTTAGCTTATAATCCAGAGTGATTAGGTGTCAAATTGTTCTCACATTATTATTATTATTATTATTATTATTATTATTATTATTATTATTATCCTTGTCACCTCCTACAACCCGTTTCCAGTCTAGTTGACCTTTTATTTTTTTATATAGAAATGTTCTTAACAAGTTGATTATGTGTGATCAGATTGTTCGAAATGTATTGTGCTAATGTATGATCACATAATTATGATAATCTTCGTCTTCTTATTAAAATATCGAAATTTATCAAATATACTAATTAAATTCACTTGGTATTGTTTGTTTGAATCTTCCCATTGATGTTTAGAACTGCAACTGGTCAGTCTCTTTTTTACATATGTGCATACTGTTCGTATTGCCTCGATATAGCCTTAATTCACAAGCATTTATAAGCGAACATGGACAGTAACTATCAATGGAATCCATTTTGACGCGCGTTTCGTCCCATTTCGAACTCGTCAGTAAGGTGTACCTGGCGTTTGAACCGAAAAGTACTGGCTCGAGTCCCAGAGTGAACATCAACTCTGAGATGCAAGTACATCCAGCCGACGAGTCCCAAATAAGACGAAATGCGCGTTCTAGTTTCCACTGCTGGCCACTATCCATCTTTGCTTAGAAAGGGACTAACTGCTTTAAATTTGATAACTTTAAGAGATTTGACCATGTATACATTCAGCTTATGTTATTCTATGGTACCACTCAATCCAGTGTTCAATAGTATACCATGATTTAAGTCTAAGAGAACAATTTGTCATAGTAGACTACTCAGAAATTCTTTAAAATATTCATTTCATATTATAACCCTGGTGTTACGCCATTTTTATAAGATTGTTTATTAATTTTATATAACCTCCAATTGTCAGTTAAATAGTTTATAATGTATGAAGTTCTATTTTATATAAATGAAATCATGAGTTAATTGAAGGTAGATCGCCATGGAAAACCTGGAAGCACTGGACGACCGTTTCGTCCTATTGTGCGACTTCTCAGCAGTGCGTATCCACGATCCCACCTCGCGAGATTGCAACCCAGGGCCTATCGATTTCGCGAACGTTTAACCTCTAGACCACTGAACCGACCAGCATCCAACGGTGTTAATGTCTAACTTCAACCAATTCACTAAGTTGAGCAACCATTCACCAATGTCTTCAGTGAGTTGATATCTCGCAACAGACTTGGTTCAACTCCATTGGTCTAGTGCTTAAACGCTAAAACGCTAGACTGATAAGTCCTGGGTTCGAATCTCGTGAGGCGAGATCGTGGATGATCACTTCTGAGGAGTCCCACAATAGGACGAAACGGTCGTTCAGTACTTCCAGGTTTTCCATGCTGATCTACCTTCAATTAACTCATGATTTCAACTATATAAAATTACTAAAATCTCTACAAAACCCCCCTCGTGTTATGAAATTCTATGTTCATTTCATAATGTTCTAAACAGGAATACCGTTTCTTACTGTTTTATTATTATATCAATACTGATATCAAGCAATATAGAAATGTATGAGATTATAAGCTTATTTTCAACATTGATATGATAGTTGTCTTAGTAACCATTATAATAGATAACTGTTATTAATATTTGACATTATTATTATTATTACTATTACTATTACTAGTATTATCGTTTTTATCATTATTAACGTAATCTACTATAACGGAAGTTAGATTACATAGGACTATGTAGCGAAACTCCCATTTCTATTTATTTTATTAATGATAAAAGCAAACTCATTAATACGTCATTAATAGGGAAACTTAATTAAAGTAATTAAAAAAAGGAAGAAAGAAAGTTACATACAAAAGAAACTGATTACCGCAATTAAGTTTCAATGGATGAATGTTACATCTTATTTTTCATAGAATAAGATGTTTATTTTATTTATTTATTTCGGTATAAAGGGGTACCAGATATATATGCGCCACACAAATCTCATTCGACTTGTGTGAGGGCTGTGATACTGCCCTGGTGCCTAAACTGAAGCAGGTAGTTTTCTTAGGGGACTACACTCGGAGCCTTTGACATAAAGGTCTAACCCACAAGGTAGTGGAGCATCGTAAGGAGATGCAGTTCCATGGTAGCCGGTGACCAACAATTGATTTATAAGCCATTCGTTCCTTCAGGATACTGGAACCCATTTGCACCATTGGTTTGGATTCAGGGATTTCCAACTCCTCTAGGTGGACTTGCAGTGTCCACCAACCGGGTTATAGCGCCGGACATTCGCTTTTTGTCATCTGAATTTCGTAAACAATAGTAATGCCACGAGAAGGTAGTTAGTAGGACTCCCCTGACAGAGGCTATATATTCGCCTGGTAATGTGATAGCATTTGAAGAGGGAGAGTGGACTCTCCCCACTCTCGGCCATACCAGGGCATTTAGGGAAATAGAATAATGTGACTTTCAGTTCAAAGTCTAAATGAGGGAAATACTTTAGACTCTTTTATTCAAATGAATTTGTATATTGGTTAAAAGGTTCTTAAGTTGACGCCAGTCTTTAATACAAAAACATCTGCATTGAGTGAGCAATACTGTTACCATACATTGAGTATGAGACATAAAGGACACATCAATAGATAAGATTATAAATCTGGAATGTGTGATACCAAAATCTAATCAGTGTCTACCTGAATATTCAATGTATAGTATAGGAGTAGTAGTATAGGAGTATATGAGTAAACTGAACCTATAATGCTTATGAATGACTAGTCTTTAAATCTATATTTTACTGTTACTCACGTGTGGTGTTGGAAGTGACTTTCACAGTTCATAAGTATATAGATTATTAAAATGAAGATAGATCACAATTAAGGTCATTAAAATTAGATGTCTATAATGATTTTCCCGTAGCTTATTAGTCTTTCTGAACTTATGATTAGGTTTCTCTATTTTGGAGAAGGACACTGCTACTAATAACATATCCAACAGGAAGAAGATCAATATCCGTCCACTTAAGTTATCTGGTTACAAAAACATTGACAAATGGTTTTTTTTATCATTTTTACAATATCTGTGTTGAGATTATCAGATAAGTGGATACAATTATATCACAAGTCAATAGTATAGCAACCATGTAAAAGAGTTCAACCATTTCTATAACACAAGGGTGTTTTGTGGAGATTTTAGTAATTTTATATAGGTAAGATCATGAGTCAATAGAAGCTAGACCACCAATGGAAATCTGGAAGCACTGGACGACCGTTTCGTCCTATTGTGGGATTCCCCAGCACTGTACATCCACGATCCCAAACAAAAAGTATTCGAACCCAAGACCTATCAGTCTCGCGCTTAACCACTAAACCAGTGAAGTTCAACCAGGTCTGTTGGGAGATTTTGTGGATTGGTTGAAGTTAGACATTAACACTGTTGGATATCGACTGGCTTAGGGTCTATCGGTTAAGTGCTCTGGCACGAGACTGGTAGGTCTTGGGTTAGAATCACTTTAGTGTGGGATCGTGGATGCACACTACTGAGGAGTCCCACAATAAGACGAAACGGCCATCTAGTGCTTCCAGGTTTTCCATAGTGGTCTAGCTTCAATCGACTTATTATCTTACCTATATAACATTTCTATAACACTACATGCGAGAAAATTAACAAGCATAATTTTAGCTGACACTTTCAAAAAAACGTCTGAGCATCATCGACAAAGATAATCAGTAATATGAAAATAGCTCATTACTTAGTGTATACATGTACATATCACTGTATTCCTTATCACAACCAGTATAGTTTTAGAACTAAATGCATTACTGATGTATTCCATATTTTACACAAATTCATAATTTTATCCATTTTTCGCTGCATAAAAAGAACCAGTTTAAAAATCTTCTGAAAACTGACATAGTAATTAATTAGCAGCTTAGTCAACAGGATCGACTTAGCATTTATAACCAGACATATAGAACATACATTGCCATTAGAAGATCAATCAATGTAGAATACAATGCTAATTAACACAATCGATATTATATATATATATATATATATATATATATATATATATATAAAGGTGTAAATAAGTATGATAATTATTCTTATTTACTTACCTGTAAATGTACTGACACTATTGGCAAATCCCATAACCAAACCTGAGAAATTAGGAGCTAAATCAATCACATTTACAGCATAGCCTGCTACTGCTAATCCAGAGAAACCTGATCAGAAAATAAGTACGGGGAAATTAAAATTAATAAATAAAAATGTTGATGCTAATAATTAGCATGTGATTGAAATTTAATTGAAGACTAATACCTTCGGATAGCAGTTCAGTAGTCTGGAATTTAGGTGTTCACGCGCAAGACTAAAAGTCCTGGATTCGGTAGCCGTGTGAGAGATCGTGGCTGCGCACTTCTGAGGAGCCCCATACTAGGGATGAAACGGCCTTACAGTGCTTCCAGGTTTTCAGTGGGAGTTTAACATTGTATAGCACTGGATGTAACAAGTAAACACTTTTGATTAAAGTAATTTATAACTTAAATCTGCATATATTATTCCCCTTCAGTTAAAAATGTACTAATATCCACTGGGGAAGCGTTAAAATGTACATGATCAGAATTTCTTACAATAAATGTTTATTAGTGTAGTCTGGAGTGAGGATAGAAGCATACCAGTGAAGTTTTTTCTACATTAAAAATTTCTAGAAACTGAAATCTGGAAGCATTGTATCCTTGTTTTATCCTAGTATGAGACTCTCCAGCAGAGTGCATCTTCGACCTCTCACTTTGAAACGAAAACCAGGACCATTACTTTTGCTCGCAGACGCTTAGCGTCTAGATCATTGAGCCAAAATCCAACAGTGTTAATGCTTAACTTTATTCAATTCAAAATATTGTGTAACTCTTATCCATCGCCTGAAGTGATTATCTATCTCATACCTGACATAGTTGAACTCTACTGGTCACGGCTTCTCAATATAACTACAAGAGTTGAAGTCAGCTCTTCAGTGACTACCTTCAATATGCAACTTTTGGAGTTCTAGCGAGAAACCATGATCAGTGTTATGTATTGTCATAAAGTTATGGACCCTATAATATTATTAACTTAAACTGGAAATTCGCTTGCATTTGTTAATCAACAGTCTTGTGTCAGTATGGATGACTAAGTTCTTAATCTATTCATGAGATTAATATTAAATTGGCTAGTTACTGTCAAAACAAAACAATTTAATAACTTTATTTGAATCCTACCAATTATATAGAGAAATATATTAAATAGGAATTGCCATATTCCGGTAATTAATTATATGAAATATTGGCATTATGTTAACTTAACTGGATAGATGTAGTTTAGGAAATATTAAAGATAGTGTTTGGCTTAATATTGAACATAATATTATTGTCGACACGTTTATCATTGACATTTAGTAAGATTGTGGTTGGAATTAGTTAACAGGAAACCCTGGACCTAGGTCTCGTGTTGTTTGGCACTAGTCAGCAAGATGTGCCTGCAATGTTAAGGGAACTGATGGTTTCTAACGGATTCGATCCCTTGTCACTCACCTTCACAGTCACCGCTGAGCTATCCGGTCTGCAAGTGACCTCCTGTAGGATTGAAATATACATGTCACCAATCCTCGTTTATAATTATCGACTTAATCTGTATTAGTGAATAATAGAATCATACGAGTCAAATACAAGTATAATGTTTTCAATATGTATATTTTGTATACTCACTGATCTAGATAGACAATCCAAGGAAAGAAGCAAAGAAAGAGAAGAGAAGGGAGCGAAATGTAATGACGCATAGTAGAGAAGGTATGTAAGCCAACTCGATGTAACCAGGCATTAATCAATATTTATAGTCAGAAGAAAATAAGTTACAGACATCTAATGAGTAAGATAAAATGTGTACACGCATACGCTGACATAAAAACAATCAGGATTAATAAGCGGATTCAAGAAGAATGAATAAATTAGCTTGTCCAGAAGCCAGAATAAACTATTTGGGTTTTTAACATAGCAACCGACACTACAATGTTTCAATAGTTATTGTCAATTGACCAAACACAAGTCGATGAGCAAAGTGATCCTTAGATAGTTTACCAAAAAAAAAACTCTAATCTAAATAGCCTTATGTTTTAAGGAATTATACAGTCCATTGAATTAATAGTATCCTAGCGACATATACCGATTCTTAAGTAGATGATTCAAACTTATTTAAGCGTATTAATCTCAATCTAACTATAGATATAAAGAATTTCTTCCTATTTTATGCTGAACCAATTCATCTATATAGTTTTAAAATGGGATACACTAATATATATTAGATTCATTCAACTATAAATGTGTTTTAAGACAGTGAAAGAACATAAAACAAAATGAAATAAAATCAAGTTTAGTTTCTTTTAAACCAACTAATTTCCAACTTTATAGTTAGTTGATGACAGAAAATTGATTTATACAGGAGTACTTTTGTGTGTGCTCCCAAGAGAGTGGGGAGAGTCCGCTCTCCCTCTCCAAATGCTCTCATATGGCCACGCGTATATAGCCTCTGCCATGGAAGTCCTATTCACTACATTCTCATGGCGGGGGTACTGTTTACGAAATTGAGGGGATGAAGAGCGAATGTCCGGCTCCCAAACGGGGTTGGTAGACACGGAAAATCCACCTAGGGGAGTTGGAAAACCCTCATTCCAAACCAATAGTGCACATGGGCTCCAGTATCCTGATGGAACGAATGGCGTATAAATCAATCGTTGGTCACCGGCTATCATAGGACTACATCTCCTCACGATGCTCCACTGCCTTGTGGGTCAGACCTATAGGTCAAAGTCTCCGGTTGTGGTCCCCTAAGAAAACCACCTGTTTCAGTTTGGGCACCTGGACAGTATCACAGCCCTGACACAAATCAAATGAGATTTGTGTGGCGCATATTTATCTGGTGCCTCCTTGTACCAATATTTATGTGTTTAAATAAAAAAGTACAGTTTTATTATTTATTTAAATAATAAAACTGTAGTGTATGCTACTGATGACGTTAGATATAAGTAGTATGTATCATAAAATGAAAGTGAAATGCCTAGAGGCAGAACGTTAAGAAGATTGAAGAAAACAGAAAGAGAACACACAGTGATTGGTGTGGAAATGAAGGAACAATGCAGTCTGAAACGATTAATCGATATTTTGTTCTCGTTCACTACATAAAATTTTGTGTTGAATTGATGAGTTTTACCATTTGAATTCCAAGTCTGTTTGAACTAACTTTTTTTTACTAAACTGTTTAAACAAAAAGTCTTATGCTATTAAATCCATTGCAATACTATACCAGATATATGAGCACCTTCGTCTAGATTAGAGCGAATAGTTTCACAGTATTCGGGCGACGAGTTGGAAAAGCTTGGTCCAGATTGCTAGGCGAAACGTTGGATTTCTTTCAAATTCATTCGCTGAGATTTTACACATATATTATTCCTATTTAATGACTATACCAGTTAGTTAATAAAGAGTCTAAGGACTATGATTAGTTTGTAGAACTTTTCATTTTATATCGAGAAAATTCCATAAAATTGATGATGTAACATGTATGCTGAATCAAGCCTGAGTTAACAGAAGTATTAAGTCTATATTCATGTCTTGATCATGTGTCGGAAACACTAATCCTCAAAAACATCATACCGTATTTTCACAAAATCAATACAGGTGATTAAATTTATTTAGTATTGTTTCATTCAGCACATCCTTTCAGTGCTAAAATTTCGTTAGCCTTAAATCTTGTTAGAAGAGCCAACAAGATCATCTCTTCAGAAGAGGACAAACAAAAAGAACAAAAGAATATAATTAGCATCTTAAAATTTAATAATTTTCCTATGAAGATTATTAGAAGTATATTAAAACAAGACAATTCAATACACAATAATAATAATAATTCGAACGAAATGCCATGGATTGGTACTGCAGTCTTACCATACCATCATGGCACAACTGAAGAACTCCAACGGATATTAAGACAACACAGAATTAAAGTATATTACAAAACAACTAACACACTTCGAAATACTTTAGTTCGATTAAAAGAAAAAATACCATTCATATCTACACAGAACTGCGTCTACAAATTAGGTTGTGTCGATTGTGATGCCTTCTATATTGGAGAGTCATCTCGCGAAATCTTAACTCGCGCTAAAGAACATATCAGGTACACAAAGAAACCGCCTAATAATCCTGTAGAATTAGATAGACTTCAGATTAAATCGGCAATAGCAGTTCACGCCATTTTCAACAGTCATCAAATTGATTTCAAAAATATCAAAATACTATAGAAAGGTTTTTCTAACTACAAAGAAAGAAGAGTAGCAGAAGCTTTCCATATAATGCTTAATCCTACTGCCCTCAATAGAAAAGAAGGCCTTACCATACATCCCACTTGGACTATCTAACCTAGTCAACCAGTCTAATATTATTTACAATCTCACACCATTACATTACAAATTAAACTCTATCCTTTGTCATTACAAAGGTCACACATTTTTCGTCATTAACAATGCACACATACACACAAAATTACATACATATCCCTTATGAATCACTTTGACCGAAATGAAATGACGTGACAGTGATTTATTCAGACCTGTTTTTGATTGATCACCTAATATTCTTTGATTGTTCCGTTGTACTATTTAAACTTGGATTAATATTAATTTGGTTATTTATTCTCTGAAGAAGTGGCTTACACTGAGTCACGAAACGTCAGAAAATCTAATTTTTCTACTCATTGGGATATTACAAATATATAATTTATTTATTTAGTATTGTTTGTTTGAATCTTCCCATCGATGTGTTAGGACAGCAACTGGTCAGTCTCTAATCGACATATGTGCATACTGTGCGTATTGCCTTGATATAGCCTTAATTCACAAGCATTATAAGCAAAGATGGATAGTGGCTAGAAGTGGAATCCAGTTTGACGCGCGTTTCGTCCTATTTATCAAGATTGTTCAATGTGTAGTTTAAAATAAATAACCATCGAAAAACAAGAAAAATTCAATAGATGCTCTTCAACATTTAGTTTCACGAGTGGATTTATATAGTTCTGTAGTGAACAGAACACGGGTAGGGACAATCGAATGTGTTAATGTACAAATTACAAACTATTTCACTAAAATCTGATAACCATACAGTAAACAGTTAATTTGCAAACTATCAATCAATTGTCTCAATTTTAACTGTTTCTTCTGCAAATATCAGTCCTTCTTTTCTGATTTCATTGTTCATGCATTTCCATACCAATGGCGTTCCGTTCCTTATCGATCTTCTGCTAAAATACATTCTATGCTTGACCATCACCATATACTACTTATATGGAAATAAGTAACCCACGCCACAATATGATAAAGTTGGTTAATAAATATTTTTTTCAATGATGGTAACAATAACTATATACGTGGGTAGGAAATCTATGTTCATTTCACGGAGATATTTACATCATAAAACATGTTTATTAGATCTTTTTGTACTCATTCCATAATTAGATCATATTAGTTCGATTAGTTGTGAAGTACTGTATAAATGTTAAATTTACTTGGTATTGTTTGGTTGAATCTTCCCGTTGACGTTTAGGACTGCAGTAGCTAAGTGGATAACGTCATGGCATTTGAAGCGAAAGGTATTTGGTTCGAGTCCCAGACTGAACATCAACTTTGAGATGCAGGTACATCCAGCTGACAAGTCCTAAATACGACGAATCGCGCGTTCTGCATTTCACTGCTAGACACTATCCATTTGTATAAATGTTATTCTGCATACATCAGAAAGTTTAGATTTATACAGAAATAAATGTATTATATATCATTTTCGCATACGTATTGATTGATTGAATTTTCAATTGGATATTTAGAACTCCAATTGTTCAGTCTCATCTTGGCAATATGAACATCAATATTGCCTGACTTCAAAAACAATATGATCAGAGTTGGATGGTGGCAAGCAGTGACATTCAAGATCCACGTTTTGTCATATTTGGGACTCGTCAACTAGATGTACCTGAATCTCAGAGCTGATATCCACTCCATAACTCAAACCCAGTACCGTTCGCTTCAAACGTCATCGCGTTATTCATTTAGTTACAGAGTCATATTAGCCACCTGTTTGTGCAATAGGGTGAAGTTTAAATTCACTTGGTAATATTTGCTTATATCTACCCATTGTTGTTTTGAGACTACAATTGATTAGTCTCTTATTGACATATGTGCATCCTATACTACTGACTGCCTCAATATTGCCTTAAGTCACAAACTTTATAAGCAAAATGATTGTAGAGCAACATTGTTTAAAATCAACTATACCATCATGACGTACTTTCTCACATGAAACTTGAAATTTTCCAATGATACTAATAACTGAACACTAGAAATGTTCCTGATTTATATGTGTTACTTACTTACGCCTGTTACTCTCAATGGAGCATAGGCCACCAACCAGCATTCTCCAACCCACTCTATCATGGGCCTTCCTTTCTAGTTCTATCCAACTGTTGTTCATTCTTCTCATGTCTGTATCCATTTCTCGGCGTAATGTGTTCTTTGGTCTTCCTTTTCTATTTTGGCCTTCAGGATTCCATGTGAATGCTTGTCTTGTGACGCAGTCGGGTGACTTCCTCAATATGTACCCTATCCACTTTCAGCGCTTCTTCCTGATTTCTTCTTCCGCTGGAATCTGGTTTGTTTTCTCCCACAGTAAGTTGTTGCTGATGGTGTCTAGCCAACGGATCCGAAGTATTTTGTATAGACAACTGTTGATAAACGCCTATATCTTCTGGATGATGGCTTTCGTAGTTCTCTAAGTTTCCAACTCATACAGTAGAACTGTATTGACAGTTGTATTGAAAATTCTGATCTTGGTGTTGTTTGACAATTGTTCTCAATTCCAGATGTTCTTCATTTGTAAATATGCTGCTCTTGCTTTGCCAATCCTCGCTTGCCCTTACATCTTCATCTGATACATCGTGTTCAACAGAAAAAAAAACGCTAACCAGATTTATGTGTAAATAAACTTTAATGTATCATATCTTTAGTTATCCATGCTAATCTATCAATTATCTCTTTGAATTATTCTCATTATCTAAAACTAGGTCACATGAATTTCACAATCAGTTAATCTTTTTCTCTGTTTTTTCTTAATCGAAAAAACGAATTTTGTTTACTTTATTGTTTTTCTATTTGGATTAAAGGATTTAGGTTGTGTGAGTTAAATCACTATTTTTTTTTTTTTTTTTATCTAAGTAACACAAAATGTATATTCAGAATGATTATGAAGTGAAAAATAAATTCAGTTTGGCGCAACTATCATTTATGGACGACCTTTGAGGGAATCTCAAGTGACCTTGAGAATATTAGCCAATCAGGAAACGGTTAGTACAGAATAAAAATATATTATACAACATCAAAGAATTAGAGTGGATAAACTTCCTTAACATGGTCCAAAAGCTTGTCAAGGTTAGAAAAAGGTTCAATGGTTCTAAAATCATAATGTATAAGGTAGAGGAATTCATCTATTATGGCTCCTTAATACTCGGTCTCTGGAACTAGACCATCATGAAAAACCTGGCGGGATCGTAGACACGCACTGCCAACGAGGAGTCCCACAACAGGACGAAACGGTCGTCCAGTGCTTCCAGGTTCTCCATGGTGGTCTATCTTCAATTGACTCATGATATGAACCATTAAAGTTAGTATAATATTCACAAAAACCCCTTCTGATAATAATGCCTAACTTTAAAACTCTATGAGTATTATTTAAGTACTTAGTGTAGTCTATGGAATTTGTACAATACTTAGAAAGTAAATGGTTTTTAAACATGGTTTCACACTATATAAGAACTTTCGTTTAAATTACATTGAATAGTTTTACAGTATTTAAGTGCTAAGTTGATATGAGACATTAAATAGGAAGAATGTATTTATAAAGTCTCAGAGAATGAATTTGAAGTAAATCCAACATTTCGCCTAGCATTTTAGGCCAAGCTTTTTCAAGGGAATATAATCAAACACCAAAATTATTGAATATAAATAGGTACATGGTTCTTCAGTTAACTGTATACTAAATAGGTCATCCAATCGATATTAACAACGATCAAATTAGGTATTTACTTTTGTGTGTATAAGACAAGACCCCAAATGCCCTGGTACGGCCGAGAGTGGGGAGAGTCAGCTCTCCCTCTCCAAATGCTCTCATATGACCACGCGTATATAGCCTCTGTCATGTAAGTCCTACTCACTACCTTGTCGTGGCATTACTGTTGTTTACAAAATTGAGAGGATGAAGAGCGAATGTCTGGCGCTTTAAACGGGTCGGTGGACGAGGAGAGTCCACCTAGGGGATTTGGAAAACCCTGATTCCAAACCAATGGTGAACATGGGCTCCAGTATCCTAAGGAAACATAAGGCGTATGAACCTATTATTGGTCACCGGCTACCATGAGACTGCATCTCCTCACGATGCTCCACTACCTTGTGGATCAGGTCTTTGGGTCAAAGTCTCCGGTTGTGGCCCCCTAAGCAAACCACCTGTTTCAGTTTGGGCACCTGGGCAGTATCGCATCCCTCAAGCAAATCTCACTTGATTTGTGTGGCACATATATATCTGGTGATATAAATCAAAAATGTTACAGCATGCCTAAAATGAAAATAAATAAATAAGATATAGGAATGAATTCAAAGAGGAAGAATGTAATCGAAATTGAATATTTAGGTTATTTTAATGTTTCATCAATTCTGAGATGCAGATACATCCAGCTGACGAGTCCTAAATAGGACGAAGTGGCATGCATCCTGGAATCCACTGCTAGCCACTATCTATCTTTGCTTTTGGTTCCAGTTAATTATTTAGCAAATTCAGATAAAACAACTGTTTAGAACCGTTGAATGTAATTATTGTCACTCAGATAATACGAGTTAGATAAAATGGAATAAAGAGTTCAGGTTTTACTTATTAATGATTAGTTAGCATGTCACAGCCAACTGTATTCCATCTCTCCTATTAAGACTTTTTGGATTTGCCTATATGTATAGGGCTTCGGCTGTTTGTCTCTCTTTGTAATAATTAAAGCATTTTTGAAAGATTTTTGTGCCACTAAAATCAATTACATGACCGAATTCTATCGAATGTAATACTATCGCTGACTTGTTCTCAAGTTTTCTTACAATGAACTAGAGAACCATCTACCTATTTATATTCAATAATTTTGATGTTTCATTATATTTCCTTGAAAAAGCTTGAACCAGATTGACAGGCACAACGTTGAATTTATTTCAAAATTCATTTTCTGACATCTTACAAATATATTGTTCCTATGGTTTCATACTGTTCTAATTGACTCTTTTTCATTTCACTGTCAAGTCAGTTATGAATGTAGATTATATAAGTCAATTACAATTTGCTAATTATTTGAATAGAATATAAGTTAATGATAAATGATCTGTTAATTCAACTGTACTTGCATAGTTGAGATCATGAGTCAATTGAAGCTAGACCACTATGCAAAACTTGGAAGCACTGGATGGCCGTTTCGTCCTATTGTGAGACTCCCCAACATCCACGATCTCGATCACGCGAGAGAGATTCTATTCCAGGACCTATCAGTTTTGAGCTTGAGCACTTAACAGATAGATTACTGAAGTATTCATGATTTCACGAAAATTGAAACAGTTCATGCCACTAATTAAAAGAACCAATTAAACAATTAACAAAAAAAGGAATTAAACCTAGAGAGAAATATATATTACTTACCTAATGCCAATGATAGTAACATTGTTGCATAGATTTCAGATGGTGCATAACCAAGTGCAATAAAGAATATACCTTTTAATCCAAAACCTAATCCAGCAAATAATTTATGTATTGTAGTACGTGAAAGATTAGTATTAATTCTTAAAAGGTCTGCAAATATTCCACCTATGAAAAAAAATATAAAAAAAAACTTATTTTGATTATTATATTAAAATGTTTAGAGAAATAAACAAATATTTCAGTATAGTTAAATTAATTAAATGATTGCTCAATTTCGTGGATTCGTTGAAGTTAGACGTTACCTTAATCGGATGCCGTCTCAGTGGTCTATCTACTAACTGCTCGCACGCGGGACTGATAGGTCTTGGGTTCTAATCTCGCGAGGCAGGATCATGGATGCGCACTGCTGAGGAATCCCACAATGGGGCGAAACGGCCAGGTTTTTTTTTATGGTGGTCTAGCTTCAATTGACTCATGATCTCAGCTATATAAGATTATAAAGATATTTATTTATAATGATCATAGGTTGCTAAATGTTCATTGTGTCTAATCAGTGCAGAATAAAGTATATTCGTCAGTCAATCAGGTGTAGGAAGGATTTGAATGTGACCAACTTGGTCTTGTGTGCAGTTACGGGTATGAGGGCTAATATCACTTCCCGGTTGCCCACACCATGGAAGGGTATTTGTTGAGGGACCTGAAAAGGAAGTTGTACTAGTGTTGGTCATAACGACCTGGGAGCGTGACCACAGGGTCCAAGGGACAACTGCTTGAGGCTGGTCATGCACGGCCTTTCTGTGGGGGATTTTTGACGTATTAGCTCCGCTTTTCAAAGGACCTTACCGCCGGAGACGGAAATCCGTAGGATGAAGGCGAGGTGTGCATTTTTTAGGGTCAACCTTTTCTAACCTCACCACTCCTTTTGGGAAGGCAGCATTACTGTTATGCTGGTTGTCTGAAGAAAACACCTTACTGCTGTCACACCTCTGTACAGTCAGCAGTACGGCTTCGCCTTAGGACATTGGGATTGCTGCTTTTAGTCTTACCGCTCTTCAGCCGACCTGTCTGGCATAGTAGGACCTTGAGGAACGATTGTTCCAGCCAGTACAGCTCGATTGGTTCATCACGATAAGCAAGCCCGACTACTACGTCAAGGTAGCAGCAACAGTAGTGTACTTAACCGATGGACCACTGAGCTGGCCAAAGCATATTCGATGTTATATTCATTAATTCACAAAATTGTGCCACCGTCCACCATTGTCTTCAGTGAGTTATTATCTCATAACAAACCTAGTTGAATTATACTGGTCACGACTTCTCATTGAAACTCCAGAAAATACCTCTTGAAGCCAGTCACTAGTGAGCACATTATTATTATTATTATTATTATAAGAGGTATTTTTGTGGAGATTTTAATAATATGATATATGAATTCATTAGTCAATTAAAGCTAGACCACCACGGAAAACCTGGAAGCGCTGGATGGTCGTCCCGCCCTAGTATGGGGTTCATCGAAAGTGCGCATCCACGATCTCACTCGTGGGATTCGAATCCAGGGCCTTCGTTCTCTTTTTAAAGATAGGGGAAACTATTGACTCATTCCACGATGTTAGAACACTTTAATTGCCAGACCTTTATGACCTGACTGTAGCTGCTACCTTGACGTGCAGGTAGGACTTGCCTACAGTGATGATCCAACCAAGCTATATTGGCTGGAACATATGTTCCTGTAGGTTCTACCATGTCAGGCAGGTCGACTAGAGAAAGGTAAGACTAGAAGGCAGAAACTCAAAGTCTAAGAGCGAAGTCGTGCTGTTGACTGCAGAGGGGTGTGTCAGCAATAAGGTGCTTCCATCGGACAACCAGCATGACAACGATGCTGACTTTTCACAAGGAAGGAAGGGGTCGGGAAAGGTCAACCCTAAAAATGTCATGCCTCATCTTACCTCATGGACTTCCATCTCCGGAGGTAAGACCCTTGAAGAACAGAGCTAACAAGTCGAGAAACCTCTCACAAAAGGGTCATGCGCGACTGGTCATAAGCAGTTGTCCCTTAAAGCCTGTGGTCACGCTCCCGGGTCATTAAGACCAACATTATTCCAACTTCCATTTCAGGTCCCTCAACAAATACCCTTACGCGATATGAGCAGCCGGGAAGTGATATCAGCCCACATTCCCGTAACTGCACACGAGACCAAGTTGGTCACTTTCAAATCCTTCCTACACCTCCTAATAACTCTCTTATCTCTACGACTAACCCTTCTCACGTCCTTTTATCACCTCTCACCTCTAGGGCAAACGATTCAAGTACGCGGAACGTTATTTTCGGTCTCCTGAAAGGACTCTCTAGACTACAAGTAGAAGCTTTCAACGTCTTAACACTGTGCCAAATAGGAAGACAGGCTTCCCTATTTAGGACTTTAGAATCACGCACTATCGATGTGTGCTGCGTCTCTGAATCGTGCATACAGGATCCGAGTAGCATCATTCCTTTGACCTCACCATGTGAAAATCAAGAGCCAAGTCCATTCACACTTCGTATATTTGAAAGCCCCGGTACCGCTCTCCGTGGCCTCACTGGCGTAGGCATAACATTGAGTCCTAGGGCAGAATTAGCTCTTTTTTCCATATCTACCGACCTGGTTAAAGTGCCAGACATTCGCTTTTCGTCATATCAATTTCGTAAGCAACACCCCACCACAAGAAGTCTGTGATCAGGACTTCCCTGGAAGTTGGTGTATACTCATGGCCTTGTGAAAGAATTTGGAGAGGGAGAGCTGACTGTCCACACCCTCGGCCATACCAGAGCATTTGTAGTCAGTTATTCTAATAAAATATTTTAAATCAATTAAATAAATAAGTATACTGGTTTCATGTCTGTTAAATTGAATCGTTAAATAAGTTTATACTGAATTATTTTGATTGAATTAAGTATAACCTAATCAGAAAGATTTATTTAAAACTGAAGTTTATTCTTGTCCACATTCAATTTATATGAGGACAAATACGAACCGGCAACATATTACTGTTATACACTATTGATTTATTATTAGTAGTATGTATAATCAATAAAGATTTGTTAATAAACAATGAAGAAAATATACCATATATTACAAGTGGATTATTTTTATCCCAATTTGGTTACATTGAAGTAATAATAGATCAGGGGGTTTTCTGTGGAGATTTTAATTGATTTTTATATATACTTGAAATTATGAGTCAATTGAAGCTAGACCACCATGGAAAACCTGGAAGTACTAGACGGCAGTTTCGCCCTATTAAGGGACTCTTCAGCAGTGCGCTTCCACGATCTCGCATCGCAAGCGAGATTCGAACCCAAGACTTACCAGTCTCGTGTCAGAGCACTTAACCGATAGACCACTATGTAAGTACTAAGTCTCCACAAAAAATTCCTTCCGATTAATATTTTCAATGAAGTTTAAGGACAAATTACATTAAAAACTGAGTTCAGCTGTAAACAGAACATCGTTTAAAACTAAAGAGAAATAATCATTTTAATAGTTGAATTCATGAGTCAATTTAAGCTAGACCAACATGGAAAACCTAGAAGCACTGAATGACCTTTTCGTCCCAGTATGGGACTCTTCAATAGTGCGCATCCCCAATCCCGCCTCACGAGATTCAAACCCGGGATTATTGGTCTCACGCTCGGACGCTTACCCTCTAGACCACTAAGCCGTCATCTAACATTGTTAATGTCTAACTTTAATCAAACGGCCATCCAGTGCTTTCAGGTTTTTCAAGGCGGTCTAGCTTTAATTGACTCATGAATTCAACTATTAAAATTACTATAAAATCCATAAAATACCATTTTTGAAAATAATCATTTGTTTTGGTTTCTCAGAACATTCACAATCCATATATCATAGAGTACCAGACATTTTGAAAAACCGTCAAATGGATTAAATTCATATAGACTCATTTGAATTAAGTGTTTCATATTTCTAGGCTAAGTCAATTAATCATATTGTGTGATGATTATTCATACGAATTGGTAATAAAAATATCACTTGCGAGCTAGTTGGCCTGTCAGTTACGCTTAACTTGTTAATAGCAAATGTATTCCGCTGTGATACAGCAGCTCGCTGAAAACAATGGTGGACGGTTGCGCAATTTTGTAAATTGTTTGAAGTTAAACATTAACGCCGTTAGATGACAGCTCAGTGATCTAGAGGTTAAGTGTTTGAACGCGAGATAGAAAATCATGAGTTCGAGACTCTTTGGTGTGGGATCATGAATAGTCACTACTAAGTAGTCACATACGAGGACGAAACAGCCGTCCAGTTCTTCTAGGTTTGCCATGGTCGTCCAGCTTTAACTGACTTATGAATTCAACTATTAAAAATTACTACAATCTTCACAAAACCTCCTTTCTGATAATATTTTTTCTAATATTTCGTGACTTAATGTAAGCCATTTCTCTAGAGTAAACAAATAATCGAATTGAACTTAATATCCTATGCATCCGAACGTGTGATAATGAAGAACATTCATCAAGTTTAGAAAAATATTGTTTTTAAATATGCATAAATTAGCTTAATGTTGATAAACAAGTCATTTTAGTGATAAAAAAAGAAACTATAATCAAGCTCTTAAGTGACAGTAAGAAACTTTGAGGTTGAGATCATGAATTGATTGATGTTAGACCACCATAGGTAACCTCGAATCACAGGACGCCCATCTCGTCCTGGTGTGGGACTCCTCAACAGTGCGCACTCATGAGAAGTCGTGACTAGTGGAGATATTCCATGTCAGATAGAGACAAGTATCTGCCCGATTTCGTGAATTGGTTGAAGTTAGGCACCAACACCATTGGATGCCGGCTCAGCGGTCTAGAGATTAAGCGTCCACGCTCGAGAACAAAGAGCTTGTGTTCGAATCCCGCACGCGGGATAGTGGATGCAAACCACTGGGAAGTCCCATACTAGAACGAAACGGACATCCAGTACATACAGGTTTTCAGTGATGGTCTAACATCAATTGATTCATGATCTCAAACATAAATTTAATGGTCTTCACAAATAAGAAAATTTTAAATAGAATGAAAAAGGAGATTGAGTCAATGAATTTGTAACATATCCCTTTCTCAATGTTCCATTTATGTTAAAATCTAGTATTTTCCAGTTTACTTAGCGAGTTAATGC